CTGCCTCGTCGCAATATTAACTTATATACTAGGTGGTAAGAGGAGCGAGGCTCTAAGAAGCCTGTCCTACCACCATCTACTCTCCATGCCTGATACTAACGAAAGTTTGAGTGTATCCTGATCAATCTGTTGCCGGACATCTGCTTCCATGTAACTGATTCAGTCCATTGCTAACTTGCTGACCTCTGTCTCCAGTAAGGAAGGATAAGTGAGACCTTGACCCAAAGGGACTTATCACATTTGAAATTCTAATCTGATCCTTATCAGGAGATTTTTCTCTAAATTGAATGGGTGGTATTGCTTGTGATTACTAGAGACATAGGGTTTGTATTTGACCTATTAAAAAGGGAAACTAAGTAGAGCCGCTGTAGTAAAGGGGTTGGGAATGAATTCTGTTCATTGCTGAGACCAACCTAGCAGTGGAATGACAATTAGATGATGATGTAAATTAGGCGGTAGGTCGACGATGAGCCCCGTACTTTGGGTCACAAGTCTAGAAGAGATCTTCTAGAACCCAAAGAGAAGACGTTAAGATTCTTTCGGATTGTGCTGTGTCTAGAGGTTCATCACTCTTGGAGAGGACTACGGAAGAAATCCGTAAGAAACTGTAAATTATGTTGTCATTGGATAACAGGTTGGTAGAACTCCAACTCAACTTCCACATGGCTTGATACCCACATCTAAGACAAGACCTAAGAAGGAAACAGATAAATCTTTCCCATGTATGTATGCCTAAATGGTCCAAGTCACACTCGGAGGTCTTTTGAAAATGTGAAGGGCTGGGTGAAAGGAGTCAGGGTTAGGAAGGAATGTTGTTTTCAAGGTTTTGGGGCGTGAGGGACTTGCTATGAATGGGTTAAAGGTTGACGTGCGTAGCGCATTCTGCGTCTGCATCTGTATGTGTGTATGTGTTTTCCTTGCATCTGCACAGGTGTTGGGCATTGAACTGTCTTCTGGATTTGGGATCATCTGTGATATTCGGACACAGGCACCGCATTTGTGAAAGTGAGGTCTACTGCTCATTCAACTCCCCTGACTTATATACATATTTATATATATATATGTGAATGAGATCATAAGTTGGTCGGAGCTTAGGAAGTCATTTGTCTAAGATTCTTTGAATGAGAGATTTCAAAGGGGTTTGACTCTGCCCTTTCATATGGTCTACAAAAGGAAACTTAGAGTCCTTATCCTAGTTAACTAAGCGTGGAAGATTGTCCGAAAAAGTCGACCTGATTAGATAGTTGGTCCGGGGAAGTTAGCACATGGGGGCACGATATACGGGTCAGTCTTAAGGCGTTCTACCGCGCATATTCCTATGCTACGGCAATCTAGAAAACGCCCTCGGCTGGCCTACTTCTGCGATTGCATGTAAAAGCCTTCGCACGTGGGATACGCCCACCTAAGGGATGGTGACAGCTCCCGCACGTGGAGGTATGTTGTATCTCGCAGGATCCCTAACCTGTCGTAGGGAGTCGCGAGAGGTATAGCACGCGCGCACGGTCGGAGTGGTGTTTTCGTTGAGGTGACAAAAAGACTCCTGCGTGACACGACCGTGAGGTCCGACACAAAACTACTTTGCGTCTGGGTGTGAGACCGCCGCGCGCGACACCGCCACCTCACCCCCGCTGTCCCGCACCCCGCCACCGCACCCCCAACCCCCGCTGCCCCGCACCCTGCCAACGCACCCCCGCTGCACCGCCCCCCCGACACCCGCCTGCCACAACGTGCACCACGACACTGTGGAGCCACTAACTGGCACTAAGCACCAAAAAAAAAAAAACACAGAAAAGAAAATCATGACAAAAAAAAATATATGAAAAAAAAACAAGAAAACGAACGGAAACAGAAAGTGCACACGCATGCACCGTGCAAGTTGGTGCAACCCATAACTGTTTTGGACAGTGACCACCCACTGCCCGCCGGTGCCACCACATTACAAAAGAATGTGGCACCGAAGGCTTGCACATCTGTTCAACAAGCCTTCAGTCTCACGTGTTGGTTAGTGGCACAGTGCCGCCGAGTCGACACGAGGCTTGCAGGACGAGTGTTGGTGATCTGCTCAAGAGGCTTGCACGTCGCGTGCCCTTGTCACAAGTTGTCAGCACAGCCTTGCGCGGTGAGGTGAGCACTGAGCGCAACTGTGTTGCACCTTTTTTTTTTTTTTTTTTTTTTTTTGACATCTTGTAAGAAAACAGTATGAGAACACTGCTGGTTTCTTAAGTTCCGCCCATGGAGTGGATGCCTTGCCGAGATTCCGGCATTCTGCTGGGTTTTGTAAGTATGTCTGTGTGCGACCTTTTTTTTTTTTTTTTGGAATGACCCATCAAAAAAAAGACTGGGAATTCTGGAATCAGTGCTGATCTCAGCAGTTCTGCCTATGGAATGGATGCCTTGTCGAGATTCCCGCATTGT